AACCACAACTCTCCAAGTTCATAGCATCATTCTCATCACCTCTACCAAACAACTCCATTGTGCATTCATATTTTTACCACTGGTACCAACATTAATCGCATCATCAACTACAATCTAGATATCATCAACCTTTTCTTTTATAAATTCTCGGATGGAGAATCGAGCCACACCCTCCACTATGGAAGATTTGGGTGGAGTCTCCTCACTAAATGGCAACGAAAATGGTTCATGTTTGATCATCAACAATTTGCTTTGATAAAAAACCACTATCTTTGTTTTCTCATCCACTCGCATTTCATTAGAAGGAATCATTTGAAAATCCAACATTGTCTTCAACAGAAATAGTGTTAAAAGTTAACATTTCCTTCTGATCAATACAATGTTGAATTTCTTCATTATCAGATTTAGAATTCTCCATACTTTCTTCAATAAAAATGTTAGACACATCCCCAATTATCTCTTCTTTTTCAGCAAATTGATCTACAATTACGTCTTACTCTTTTCTCATTAGATTTAGGGCCTTTTGTATCTTCCAATGTATCAACTTCTCTAATGACAAATTTAGAATTTTATTTGTGATCAAGAAATCACATACCTCTGTTTGTTTATTTGTGTGATGTTCAAGTCATAGTTTTGTTGTAGGGATAACAACTACCCGGGATGGACGCATCAGTATCCTAGCCTGGGATGATTCTGCTATGGGTGGATCTGGATGTGGAAAATTCTTTCTATACTCGTCTCTACACTTATTTTGGTCTACTCCTCTATGCCAATCATATTGGCTTTGAGGTAATTGGTTACCAACTTTTCTGTACATTCATGCTCCCGTCAATGCCGTCATGCATTGAACCCATAAGTGTGATCAAGCATAACATCAAGTTGTTCCACTCAGACTCGCGCTCTGATTTACGCCGATCTCCACAAGAACTCACACAATATGGATCTATCACTGTAGATCTCATCTTGTTCGATGTGTGATGCTGCAATCTATCTTTTTGCAATAACTTTTCAAGTCGTCAAGTTGTTCATTTTTTTGTATATTTGGTCCAGCTCGACAATCCTATGGTTGTGACCTCCATGACCAGCCATCGCAATCACTAACCCTTTTTAATCATGCTCGGATACCAAATGATGTGCAAGGAATCCAAGAAATTAAATCCAGCCTTCTTTCGATCTTAAAACCGACAAAATTCAGCAACTATGGAGAAAATAAGGTGGCAGTAAGTCAAGCCATAGGAAGAAGAAGCTCTTTTCTTCATTCATTAAAAGTCTCTACAAAAATATCCAAGTCTCTCTTCTAGGGGGAAAGTTACATTTTTTAAATACAAGCCAAAAAAAAAAAGTAAGAAGACTCTCTCTCTCTCTCTC